CTCGTACCAATACATTTTGCGATTTTTCCACTCCACCTGTCTAAAGTACTGCGCCTGCCACGAAAAGTGATACCGGGGCATACGAAGTGCTGCACCTGTCACGCAAAATCATCCCAGCAAACCTGAAGATCTGATGCCCCAAAATGCAACCCCTCTCAGGAAATCAGCGCCCGGGCCTCCTAACAGCTCTGATGAACATGTCTCTTGTACTGCGCCTGCCACGGAAAATGCATCTTTGCAGATCCTCTTCAAATGTCCCACGCCTGCCATCGTTTTTGGAAATGCTACAAAACCCTCACGTTTTGCGCACTTTTGACAAGGTGCACAATCCCTTGCGCCTGCCACGCAAAACGACATCTGAAAAGTGCTCCGAACCCGGCAGTTTTTGTACATTTTGACTTTGAAATGTGCTTCGCGCCACACAGCGTGCACTTTTTCGACATCTCAACTTCCAAACGTGCTCCAAGGCTGGTGTGCTTTGTACATTTTGACTTCGAAATGTGCTTCGCGCCGCAACGGCGTGCACTTTTTCGACATGGCAACTTCTAAAAGTGCTCCGAACGTGAGGTGCTTTTAGCTGTTTCACTTGCAAATGTGCTTCGCGCCACAACGGCGTGCAATTTTTCATCTCTCATCTGGCCAGCTGGCTCCACACCCGCCGCTTTAGCGAGCCTACTTTTCGACACATTGGAAAAACATATATATAGTGTTTCGCGGCTTTCCTATAGCTTTTCGCGCACCTGGATCTTCTTTCTTCTGAGACTTTCTCTTTTTTGATCTTCTTCTTCTCTTCTCTTCTCTGACTCTTCCCATCTCTGCTTTTCATCTGTCCATATTGTCGGAAGTTTGACTTCTAAACTTCCTTCGACCCTTGATATTCGCATACCATTTATACACCACTTGAGGCCCGTGGGAGTACCAAAGCTAGCAGGACGCTACTAATTTTGTACCGGAGACTGCCCAGCTGCAAGAGTAAACTGATGTTGATGATGGTGGGAACGAATGATGATGACGATGATGACGATGACAATGACGATGACGATGATGATGATGATGATGACGATGATGATGACGATGATGACGATGATGACGATGATGATGATGATGATGACGATGACAACGACGATGATGATGATGATGATGAGGAGGAGGAGGAGGCGGAGGAGGACGACGACGACGACGATGATGATGAGGATGACGATGACGATGAATGACGATGAATGACGATGAATGACGATGATGATGACGATGACAAAATGAAATATTGAAGAGGACGACCTTGTAGTTGCACGCAACGCATGGTCCAGGCAAGTCCAAGGGGGTCAGTCCAGGCAACATATCTCATGACCAGTCCCAACTGCTGTTTATAGCCGGTCCCCTCAAGAGGCTCCAGCCCAGCCTCGACGTGTGTCTGGAACTTGCCAAAATTCCTCACCAGCGGTCGAAGCTGTCATATCCCGGAGGAATCCTCCGAAGAAGTAATCATGTATTCAAGATATTCATGATACTTGTGTATACATGTATTTCTCGAATACATGTAAATGCATACGGTAATACGGATGTCTACAAGTATATGTGCACATTCTAGTCAGTCGTTTACTGCATTGCTCTCTTTTAACATATTTAAACCATTTTAAAGCTAAGTCTTGATCCACCGGCATTCAGGATCTCCGTCACCACCAGGAGAATCATGACTTAATCATGACACTTGATTGATCAAAGCTTCAGGACCTCATGGATTGCGAAGGAACCATTTTTCACCAGGAAAAGGTTGGTAAAAGTGACCAGTACCAGGCTATCTGTAGGCTCCACATCGCGACCATGACTGTTCCAAGTGCCAAGTCTCTTTATCATCCACTGCTGGTCATGTATAATGCGACCCACCTCAAGTTGTGAGCCAGTGGTGACCGAAATGGAAACGGATAGCATATAAGACCGCCTATAATCATCAAACAACTGGGTTTGCTTGAAACTGCTCAAATGTCCTACTGCCTGCGCTGGTATTTCAGGTCAGCCCTTGTTTGATTCCAATGTCAGACCCATCAAAAGTGGGCTGGCCTTCCGCGTACAGCTCGAAACAGCATGCAACAAACCCAGTGAGCATGGCACGTGTGGTGGACAGTGAACAAAAATGTTCCTGTCTCTTCTGAAAATTCATCTGTGTGAACATGCCGCAGAACGTTTGGCCATCGGTGTCCTTTTTCAACTGTTGAAGAATGTTGAACACCAAAATGAAATCTGTGAGCCCACCCGTTGCGACACCAGGAAAATTCAAAGATCAACTCATCACATCTCCCAAGCCCTGACAAGCCACATCCACGGCTCGAGCTTGACCCCGAAGTCTCAAGCAACCCATTAAGAATTCGTCCATTGGAATTGTTCCACCACCATCATCATCCACCATTTTGAAAAAGGTCCATGCGTCCCAAATATCCTCAGATGCCATGGTGCATCATGCCATCATGGGTCCATTCCACGGTATCCACGGTTTTGTTTTGAGAACGATTTTTGGATTTTCCCTCATGCCAAGACCAGTCAAAGCGTTTGCGTGCAAAAATGCAAAATTATCTAAACCAGTTTCATAATGCAGATTTTTGTCTGCATTGCTATGTTCAGATCAAGGTTTGTGATACAGATTCCAGTGTTTCGTTATTTATCAATCACTGTAATCATAAATCATGATTCATAAACCTCTCGTTCATGCTCTCAACATCCTTTCATGTAGTCAAGCCGAGTGGCCAATCGCAAAGATTCGAAATAATCGCGCACTTCTGGGGTGTTGATCTTCTCTTCGAACATTGGAAATGTAATAAAATCCGTTTCTTCCGCCCCAGACCCTGTTCCGCCAAATTTTGAAAACAGGGTCTTGATCTTGGCGAGGCGCGCTTCCTGTCACATTTTGTGTCAACGAAAAATCATACAAAAACACCAGTGGCTCAATTCTTGCAAATTATGTTGCTGGGCAACATCATGGGTTCACATCTGATTTGGTTACTTGCACCCTTGTTTGAAACCTTCGCAGCTGGCACCAAAACATTGCATTTACTGTTTCAAATTAAACGTGCAGCGATGTCCTTGTTTTCGAGGATGGACTGCACAATTGCAGCATGGTCATTCTGCGCGCTGTCTATGGCTGACTGGCAGAACACGCCAGTGACAACCTGGGTGCTGATGATGATGATGTAAACAATGACGCTGCCCGCACTTGCCCGCAGCCGCAGCGCAGGCCAGAGGCGATCGCCAGAATAGAATGGAGGTGGTTCTAGTCGTCGTGGCGCTGCTGCAACACATCAGCACGTGTTGCAGCTGCAAACCTTAGAAGTTTGTTGTCATGGTCCACCTTAGTAGGATCAGTAGTGGGCCATGCGAGTCTTTCCTGCAGCACATCGTGGGGTCTAATAGTAGGATCACGGTGTGGGTTCTGAGTACATTCCCAAAGCATGTGCTGCACAGTGGCACAAACATGTTGGCAATAAGGGCATGTTTCTTCAGCACCTCCCATGGCATTTCGACATTGAGGTGAAATGAAAGCACCAGTTACAACAGCCAGTTCGTGACTGTTGAGTTTTTCTTGCGCAGAATATTAATGCGGGTCAGGTCACATGGAATGTCTGCACAAACCGTTGAGTCGCGTCGGTCAAGTTCCAAGAATTCCTCATATTTTCTGATTCGCCAAGCATCTCTGAGCCTATGTGACAGCACTTCGGTCGCCTTTTCAGGCAGTGTGGTTGGTTGAATCTGAATAGTTTCAAGCATCGGGTGCGTCCAGGTCCAACTACCAGCCTCAGCGAACCCAAGTTCTTGCATGCCTTTTCTAAAGCTACCCGTCCAGCCACTCATTTTGGGTGGCCAGTTTTGCAACTGCATCTGTGTTTTGTGAACATAGCGGGTGAGGACTCGGAGAGTCGTAACCGTGGCAGCAAAACCTAAGTCCCACCAATGGCCAGTAAAAATTTGGAGTAAAGGTACGGCTGACTGCTTTGGCCACTGATGCAGCGCTTTTGCTCCCTGAAAGAAAGCGTTGCTTTCAGCATGAGTGGGTCTTCGAAACAGCCATCCCCAACTTGCTTTTGCTGGGGCACAAACCCTGGCAACTGCAGCTTTACGTGTTTTGGAACCTGGGAGGCACCTACATTTTCGAAGAACTTCTTTGGCCTCAGTGAGTCTTGTCAGTTCTCGGTCTTTGGCTTTTCTTTGGGTCACTCCCATGAACTGGAATCCCAACAAGGTGATGGAAGTGGAAACTGTTTCTGGAGGACAGCCGGCATCCTCGAGAGATCGGCAACCTTGAACGTTGCGGTGGTAATATTGCTCTTTGGTGGGGTTTTCTTGAAGACCAACCTTATTGCTCCAAACATGCCATTCATTTCGAACTTGCCATATTTCAGTCGCAGTGGAACAAGTGAAAGAACGATCATCGGCATATAAAGCTTGAACGCAACAAGGGTATTTTCTCTGAATGTGATTGGCAATGGGAGTAAGCAAAACACACATGCCTAACATGCTAAAGCAGTCCCCTTGCGGCAGGGAGCGCTTGACAACATGGTTGTTTGGGAAAAATTCGTCATGGAGCTGAAGAAAACGGATTTGTTCGCTCCACATGCTTAACAACATGCGTGCAGCTTTGCGCGGCATACCTTGGTGGACAAAGAGTTTGCAGATTATCTCAGGGTCAGAATAATCGAAAGCTTTTGTCAGGTCAAGTGTACCAACCGGCCAGCTATGCATGTCTTTGAGGATTATGTGAGAGATAGCATCCTCAACACCTTTTTGGGGAACTCCCCCAAACATGAATTCGGGGGTGGATGTGTGGATCCATTCCTGAACCTCAGTTTGTTTGAATCTGGCTCGGCTGCAGATTCGCCAGATTATCGACATCACAGCTATGGGACGCATGTTGTCCGCCAGCATGCTGCCGTCAGCTTCAGGTGGTTTCCCTTTCGGGATATGCACTTGGCGAACACATCGCCATATGGTAGGAATGTTTCCGAGCTCTTCACAATGATCATAGAACTCGGACATGACCTGCCACATTTCGTCACTGAACAAACTAAGTTCCTCAGCTCTCCAGCCGTCAAGCCCCGGCACACTGCCGCGGCTACACTTGGTGGCAGAACGGAGTTGTTCCGGTGTGAGGCTTGGCCAGCTGTCAGGAGCAGGGCGTGGTGGAGTGTGAGTAACCAAATCATCCCAAATATCATCCCAAGAGATTTGACGTCTATTCCAAATATCGGCCCAAAATTCCCTGAGAATCCTCAGGCTGTCTTGGGTGGAGTGACTAGGAACAGAGTCTTTGGTTTTCTTAACCGCATTGCACATGGGAACAGATCTATGTCGCAGCCACCTGTATGCAGCCTTGTCATGTTCCATGTTGTTTCTCCATCGTTGAAGTCTGGTGTAGTCATCTTCATGATTGAACCGTTCCAAAAGCGTTTCAAGATGCCGAAGGTTTCTTTGTATACCCCAATCATGGTTGTACATAGAACACCGTCTGATTTTATTCCAGAGAACTCGGCTTTCAGTGATATTTTGCCTGTCTTGATCCAAGTTTCGCTGGGCTTCCCGCAACCTTCCAATCAATCTGCGCAGAACTCTTTGGCGGTGAGTAGCCATAGCTCCAGCAGGATGTCGTTTCATGTGTTCTTTCTGTTTAAGAGAGACCTCAGTGGCCTTTCCTTTCCTCAGTAAGGCCGGAGACACTCGCTGCAGCATGTCAGGGGCAGCAGCCCTGACTGCACAAACTAGGGCTTGAAAAAAAGTTTGCGAAAGCATCTGCCAGTCCTGGTCAACATTGACTGACCATCGCTCTGGAAGTTGTGTGGAAAACTGCGGCCAGAGCTGAGCCAATTTGATTTGGATTCGTTCAGCAACTTCCGGGTCCTTCGGGAGGATTCTAGGAATGTTGGCTTGTTGGAAACCTAAAACAGGTTCGGTAGATAAATCGAAAAAAGTTTTGACAATTTTGTGGTCGGCTACAACATCAGGAAGCGTTTCGACCTCAGTGGGCTCAAGGTTACTGATATAGTAGTCAATATCGCGGTTTCCTTGCCACCGCGTTGGGGTTTGAGTGGCATGAATACGAAATTCCCTAGGAATCAAGAAATGAAGAAAGGGATTCTCTTCGGGTGTGGCATTGTAATCCCCCCAAAATAAAACGATGTCTTGGAGCGAGAAAACGATGTCTTGGAGCGAGAGAGTGGACAGTTTGAGCCACAGCTGCACTCACGGTTTCTGCATCACTGTTAGGAGCCAGGTAAGTGGAGATGACCAGAGTTGATCCCACCCACACAGCTTGGGCACTACCTCCTTTGTGAGTGTGTGACCAGGCCGGTCTACAAGGTAGTGAAGATTTAACCAAGACTGCAGCTCCTCTGTAGTGTCGATTGACGGTGCTTTGCGCACCGGAGAAAAAACTTCTGTGCCCCACAGACCAACAAGTTTTTTGAAATGTGGTCCATTCAGCCTGGCTAAAAAAAACATTTCTGAAGCAGCACAATCTGAGGTGCCTGCTCCTGGGTTTGGAGCAGCTGTTGTAAGGTCCACGATTGTTTGGGTCCTTGAGTGTTGCATGTCCAAACTGACACATGTTGATCCAAGTTGCGCAATTTTCGTGATCTTGGTCCTGGATGGGACGCTTCACCAATTCTCACAGCAACCTTATCATTATGGTCATGTTCTTTGGCTCTACGGCTGCGCTTGTTGGAGGATTGGGAGGCAAAAAGCTCCTCCCCCTGCTGCAGAGTCTTCCCCCATGCTTGACTGAGGGCTTTTTTTTTGGGTTTTAGTTAAAGACTGCCAATATCTTTTCTGAGACTGGAAACCTTTGGAGGTGGGATCATGTCCCAGGCATGGATTCGTCCAGATTTTGACAGCACCAAGTGGATTAACCTTGTGGCAAATTTTACAGGTCAGGGATCCCTTGGGAAACTTTTTAGCAGTGGAGTCCGGGTGGCGCATGGCATCCGGCGGAAGGACCTCAGTAACTAAGTGCCCTGCAGCTTGCGCCGCCTGAAAAGGGGTGGCAAACGGACCGCTAAGCCACTTGGCTGGCCCTTTACCGTTGACTCTTTTTTTGGTTTGGAAGTTTGCATTTGCAACCTCGGCTTCAGTCATACCAAGTCCGTTTCTGATGGCACCTTGGTTCGCAGGGTGTCGCAAAGCAATGTTTCGGATCCAACCCAGCAATTGAGTCGGGATAGGTTGAGTTTCATCAGTGCATGCGGTGGTTTTGAATCTACATGGTGTCCCTTTTCGTCTGCATTTGGCACAAACAAGCACGGACGTCAAATCAAGTTTGCGTCTCTCTTCTTTGGGGTTATGTTTGAGAAGAATTTGGCGAACATCATGCCCCGTTTGCGGAGCCCAAACTTTCAGGTTGTCAGCGACCTTCTGTTGTTTGAGCTGACCTATATGTCTGCCTCGCAGTTTCATACGAGCTCGAAGGCCTTTGTCAGTTCTTTGTTTCTTCCTGTACGCCTGAGTTGGATTTGTGTCAGGGTGTGCCTCGGCAAAATGTTTGCGGACACTAGCTTCGTGCCAAACTTTTGGCAACAGTGGGAGTCCTTTCCCGCATTCTGGGCAACTCCAGGCTCTGCCACTTTCAGGAAGTTCCGAGGTGGGGACTGTGATCTGAGTTTGAGCACCGAGTCGCGGGCATTCAGCTCTTTCGGAATCTGTGTCTATTTTTCAGGTGTGAACTTTTTGCAGCTTGAAGCTTGGCTCTCGCTTGCAAACCTGCAGGAATTCTGATTTCATGCCGGCAGTCAGGCAGCGGACAAACCCATACCTGAGGTCCTTGCGGTTTGGCAAGCGTCTTAGCATCCAGCCGCTTGAGGTGTCGAGGATATGGAGCAGTGTCAGGGCGAAAGTCGCATTCTGTGTTGTCATTTTTGACTGCGCCTTTGTCCTTAGTACCCGACCGGTCCTTGGTCAGGTTGTCTGTCAAATTGAGGTGGGTTTCTGAGGTTAAAGATAAAACCGAAGCTTTATCGTTCTCAGAGGGTGCAAGAAACTTCATGTCTTCAATCCTTGAGTCACAACTGCTTTGCTTGAACCTGCATCTTTTGAATGGTCTTGCAACCGTTTCACTCGGATGCTGCAACTGCTGGGATTTGATGGCAGCACGCGGAGGTTCGCAGGAGTGAGGGGTGGCAGCACTGTG